CACTGATAACCGTGGAGTACTGGGCAGCTCACATTCTAGTATGAAGCTCATCAGCATTATACACATATTAGCATTCAAACCCAAGACCTATTGGTCACAAGGCAAGCTGGTAGACCATTCAGCCACTGGGACTTGATTTTAATGACTAGCCCATGAATTACAACGTCTGCCGATAATTCACGATACAAAGCGACTGGCACTAGCCATTGTCATAGGTGGCGATTATTTGTCCTCAGTTTTGATTGGGTGGATCTCACTGGTCACTACGTCTTACTAGAAATCAAGGCAACATCATCCTGCGGACAGTCACTAGTGAGCATCAGATTAATTAACCCATTCATTCATTCATGTTGCGTTCGGTTCTCTGCTAGAGTTTATACCTGGCTCCACCCACATGCTTTCATCTCCTCTTCACATCACCTCCTCCAAGTCACCCTCACACTGACGACCAACTCGCCGCTTTCCTTTCAGGTTACACTCGAGCAATAGCTTGTCTAGTGATGTCACTTGATGGTTTCCTCAGAGTATGACCAGCCAATCCATCTCCATTTCTACCTGCCTATTTGATGCACAGTCGGTTTCTGGTTGGTTCGCTCCCAGAGATCCCTGTTGCTGATCTTTTGAGCGAAGTATTGAGCGAAGGCAGCTGTTGTTGAAGGTCTGTAGTTTTTTTGAGGTGTTCTTCATGGCGGGCCAAGTCTCCCATCCGCACAGTGAAGTTGAAAATCCGGATGTTATTTTCCATGCTGAGTGCTATTGACCTCCACACAGACTTGAGAGGAATCGTCCAATAATATAGATCACTACTTTATTTGAAGATTCCGTATACGGATTAGATAAAACCTAGGCTTAAATTCTTCACTGCATATAAATGTACTGTTCACATTTGATCTATTAATATTATTATTCAGGTGTTGGTTTGTTGGGATTCGATTGGTGCTCACTAGCAACTGACCCTGTTCAAATAGCTAGTTAGCTGGGTTCCAGTGGGAAGTCATGACTAGATGGATACAACAAGTAGGGTTTGAGGATGGATACGCGCCAGCGATGACATTCGCTAATGGGAAGCCATGGGATGGCCATTGGATCAGGTCCTAATTTTCGAATACTCTACCAGCTTGTCCTTGTTTCGAACTCTGGCGGTGGGTGTACACCGGTGAAAAGTTGCAAACTGGGACGAAACAGTTGGCTGTCTGGAGCACCCTGGTGGTTTACCAATGGTCCTCTAACCCATGTACTGTAACCAATCGGATCTTTTTAAGCCAAAACTTGAAGGTCATATTGCAAAATGATCTAAATCTGGATAAATTGGCTCTATAATGAAAATGAATGATTCAAAAATGATGAGCATATCGTTCAAAAACTTTTTAATGCTTAACTCTGTATAAATAAATTTCAAATGACACTTAACAAAAGAATAAAAATGTATGGTAATCCTTAAATCAGACTGTTCAACTTCAGAGAGATTTTTAAATGACTTCAGATGAAATGTCGTTAACTGTGATTTAGTGGTATAATGCTGGTCAATCAAACCAAAGACTCGTGTTGGAATCCTGGCCCAAGCACTCTGAAAACACATTGTTCACTAACCGATAGTAAGCCTCGAAAAGAGCTAAGGTTGAGGATGAGATTGACGATCCCGTCCGGTTGTGCAAATCAACACGGCCACTACTAAAACTTCGATGACTAAAGCCTTATGTTACATTTGAAATATAATGAAATAAGGGAAAACCCACCAGCAGTTAACGTTCGATAGGAAAAAAGGAGAACCCAAGTTGCATTAAATGCGTGAATTCCCACCAAACCACTGTCTGTTTTTTTTCAACATAGAACTTTGTAACGATATGCAACAGTTCGAGTCACCACACTCCCTCCTTGTAGCACACAAAGAAAGAGAGGAAAATAATCACCGAAAATACCTACTGAGTCAAGAAGAAAATAAAAAATAAAACAAAAAGAAATGCAAAATAGAGACAGTTAACAGAGATATGAGGCAAAAAGAGTAGCAATATCGAAGAACAATATAGTTTTTTCGGGTATTATAAGTTACAAGGACAGGATATATCTGCGCCAGGAATTGAGAGCGATTTCGAGCCATTTCACCAATGGTCTCCAGCAATCATTGGTTTTTACTGTCCCGAGGACAACAACCAGGAAGTCTACACCATCGTACATGACTGTCTTAAACTAACTGTTGTGGATTTCATTGACTGGCGAAGTCATGTTTTGGTTTGACCGCGGCAAGCTGTTTTCCAGCCCTACTCTATGTCAGCTAACATTACGAGTCGAGGTAGGCGCTGGCTAGGTATGCGTAACACATGTCCTAACCATCCTAGTCGATGTAGCTTCACAGTTTCGTTGATCGATTTCCCCTCCAACATTATCCAGCATTGGCCCCCTAACCTCAATATTGCTCATTCTATTATATCAGGTAAAACGGGAGATAGAACGCAGGCACCTATGATCAAAGACGGCTAGACAGCCTTTTCATTTCCTCCACTCTCAATGGCCATGTCTCACAGCCATAAAGGAGAATGGAGCGGACTGATGAGCAGTACACCCGCCCTTTGATCGAGAGGGTAAAAAACAGTGGTTGGAAACAATTGGTGATATGGCTCAAAATCGTTCTCAATGATAGCGCAGATGCATCCACTCCTTGTGGCTTATGATTTCCAATAAAATTATGATGTTCTTCGACATTACCACTTCTTGCCTCATATCTCTGTTTACTCTCTCTATTTCGCATTTTTTTTTACTTTCTTCTCTTGCTTTGTGTGCTACATGGAGTGTGGCGACTTGAACTGGTGCAGAGAGACAGATAAACCACTTCATATGTCCTCAGTCATTGGTTCTTACCCACTGAAGGACTCCAGCCAGGAAGTCTACACCTGCCTACGCGGCTGGCTTACACCAAACTGTTGTGGAATTCACTGACTGATGAAACCATGTTTTGGTTTGACCACCACTAACTTTCTCTTTTCCAACCTTTGGTCGATAGCCAGCAAGGATATCACGTCTACTAAGCCAGAGATGGCGTAAACTGGCCTACGAGAAACTAGCTTTCTGTATCCGTGCTGAGATTTCGTTACCGATCAAACCCGTTGGCGTTGGTTGATTCAACTTCCCAAATAAGTGAAGCGGTCAACACGCCAAGCCACTACTTCACTCCCTATTCCTAAGCTAGGAGTGAATCAATGTAGTCCATGTCCAAACCACTAGGCAGGAAGTTTTAATCCAGAACGTTACATATTTATTCATTTTATTTTACAATAGGTGAAATAATTTGTTGACCGTACAGTAACATCAATACTTAAATATTGTTATTACTTGACTTTGCTTCCTGTGAATGAACACTACCCTAACAGAATCGATTAGCCTTTTCAGTATTACACATTTTTCAATAGCTCTTTATACACAAATATGTCACCTTTAGGCTAAAACCTGACCTAAACAAACTGATTAGCACTCAAGAGGTGTGCAACATTGATGGCATTGAAAGTGAAACCAAGTCAGAAGTTAATTACCTAGGCGTCACTCAATCTTCTGATCTTTCCTGGGCTTCTCACATCTTGACGATTTCTAAGAAAATATTCCATCTTATTTTCTACATCAAGAAGTTAAGACATTCTGGTGTAACCCAACCCTTACTCCTACAATTTGTTAACTCCCGTATTCTGCCTACTATTCTCTATTGTTCCCCCTTAGTTTTTCGTGGGCTAGTGAAGAAGGACTATATCTTATTACGTAGGGTGTTAAAGGGTGTCAGCAGGGTAAGCAACGTGCCACTTAACCAACCAGCTTGTTAATATTCTGGTTGACAGGCACTTGGACTCATGTGAAAAATGGGCTATATTCATTCTATCTAACTCACACCACCCTCTTCATTCACAACTCTCCCCTTGTATCTATCTCATCAGGCAGGACTAAAAGCCTGCCTATATAGAAAACTATATGCTCGCACTAGCAAGTACAAAAACTCAACCATAGCCTACTTAGCTCGTGTTCTGTACGATAAAGAAAACATTAGGCGTGATACCTGTAACTTATTAAATAGTCAGTAGAACAACTGGATCTCGTCTTTACAACTTATATCATTTATAGGGTACAACGTTTTTCTTTCTTTCTTTTCCTTTTCTCTTTTTTGTTATATGTTGTTGTGTTTCTCTCTTCCTTACAAACTCTACTTAAAACATTCTTCTTCGTTCGTTTACACTCTGTATATCTCGACCTTTTCGTTACCGCTTGCGCCAGTAAATATGCTAGCATCTACTTTTCTAACACCTTCAAGCACTCTGTTCACTTTTGGCTTTGCTACCGATATGCTAATGTGTTGTTGTCAAAAACTAACTGAGATTACCCATAATCTACATAGAATTTTATTTTATTGTTAATTTACTAACTGGATGCAATATACTGCAGTGAAATGCTGAGAATTACATCCTGTATCGCAAGGACTGTTTTGAAATAAAGCTATTATTATCTTATCTTATTGCCTAAGTAAAATTTCACCTTGGAATTTCAAAATAATGTTTTTCTTTTTAAAAAAAACTAAGATATCGATAGATAGATAGATAGATAGATTCTTCAATGTCTGTTGTTGTTGTTCTTATACTTTCCTACATAGTACAGATACACAACAGAAAGAGAAGATTAGCTCAGCATGCCCACCCATACATACTTTTACACATGTATACCGTGTTTTAATATGATGCATATCCCTGTAATGATTGGTTCTTCACTTACCTAAATTGATGAAGGGAAGGTATCAAAGTGATAGGGATTACACTGTATATTGATCGATTCTTAAGACGAAACACTTTTATCCTCCAAAGTGTATATTTTAAATAAAATTCAAGGTGTGTAAGGGCATAGATTCCTTTTTGTACGTGGGTAAGCTGACTGGTGCTGGCAACACATACGCACAACCACCCACCCACCCCCACACACACATAGCCCTACACACATATATATATACAGACATGATTTCATTCTGTAGTAGGTGCATGCTTCCATAGCATTCATTATGGCACCATATAAAACAAATCTTCAAGGCTAGAAAGATATAGTGATAGACTAACCAATCCGCACAAGCACACACACAAACACACAATCTTCAATAATATATATCCCTTTCTATAGAGTGTCTGTTTATTTCAATTAATACACTTTATAGTCACTTTTAGAGAGGCATTTTTAAGATTTCCAATAATTTTCTTATCGTTTTATTTTCATTGAAATTTAACTTTGATCAACGCGAAAGACGAAAATAAAAAAAAAAAAATTGATTAAAAAATGGCAACTCGTATGAATGATATGGGTATGGATGTACAAATTAATCGTCGGGTGAGTCGGTGTATAACTATTTGTATTACTTACTGTTTAATCTATCTATGTGCTACAATTATACCGTTATTCATTGTTTGAGTTCTGAGTTGGACAGTGTAGTCTCACTGGGGCATCTCTATCACCTTCCCAGTTGAATGTACAACATCCAATGAGCGTTAATTTCTTGTCTTGAATGATCTTCTTTATGTCACCTTCAGATTCACGATTAACTCCAGCATTACTTATTCGGCTTCCTTAGTTGAAACAACTTGAAGTGTGGTACTGTCACAGAGTATATCACATTCATCTTTATTTTTTGCTGTCTATTTGCAGAGTGACAGGTTACTTTTCTAAACCATCTAATCTTCAGGAGTGAATAATAATCATTTGATACTTTTTAATTAACCAGGGAGTAATTAATACATTTAGGAGTTATCAATAAGTCTAAGTTCAGAATAATATCGTGAATAACATTTTGAGTTCGAGAGTAAAACATAAACTGCCTAATTTTGTCTCTTCCATGTGTATCTACCAATTTAACTTCTCTTGCTGTGGAGCCAGTTAGTTACATGACCGTAAAATTAGGCGTGTTTCTCATCGAATTTCCAAACATCATCCTGCACAGTGGTTAAGTAAATGACAAACACAGTCGATTCATAGCTCAATTCTATCTCATCTTGTGGATACAGAACACAAGAGTGATGTCAACGAGGAAGCTTTCAAAGTCATTTACTGCATACCAACAAATATTAACTTCGACTTAAGAATTCGTTAACTAAATATTGCTGAGGCTGGCTGTTGCAATCCACATTAAGTAGCTAATTTATGCGTCCAAAAGAAGCTAGTTCAGACATTGTCCTTTCATTGGGCATCTAGGTTTGATTGATCCTCAATTTTCTGGAAATATCCTTAATTTTAGTTGATATTCTATTTGCTATTATATTTTTATAATAATAATAATTTATGCATCTCTAATGAACTGTAATTCCATTGAGATCTTACTTAACAAATCGATATTATTTAAAAAAAACACTAATATTGTTATTGACTACTATTCTAGAATATTCTATGTATATGAACATGCATATGTAATTGTAGAGCGAGAAGGGAGGAAATTATTGAAAAGGATATTCTTTACTCGGTCAATTATTTTGTGTTTAATAAACATTCTTGTTGAAATTTGATTATTAACAGCGGAAGTTCCATTGTCAATTTGGACATCATATTCACTGATGACTTGTAAGAAATAAGTTTGATGATCATAACACCTAGGCGGCTGTAGTACTATCTGAATTTTCTCTACATCAAAATGCATCGCTTTTACTCTGTTTCAAATTGTTTTTAATCTTCTAATTAACACAATCAGTTGCAAGGTATACTCGAGAAAAATTTTAACTAAGTTCCGACCTACCGCTAGAAGATTTTCAAAAGAAAATGAGGGAAGAATACTGTGGAGTGCAGGGTTGCATTATACTCTAAATGATGGAAAAACATATCTTCAGATGGCATATTATTGATTGTTATATTATTTGAAGATTTTGAACAGGTGGGGAATACGTTGGAGTGAAACTCACTGAATATTCTGTATTGCGTGAAAATTCATCTTTCCACAATAAAGCTATTGTTAATATTATTAAGACAAATTAATAATATGGGACTTCGTGAAGAATGGGCACACTGGAAACTAACTATATTCCATCACTCATTATTATTATATCCTTTAATTCCTAGAGGAACATAAGGCTTCATTTGCGCATCTCTACTGCCTTCTGTTTACTGCCAACTTTTTCACACCGCTCCAAGTCTGCCCACATGCTTTCATCTCCTCCTCACATGACCTCCTCCAAGTCACCCTCACACTGAAGATCAACTCGCCGCTTCCCTTTCGGGTTCCACTCGAGCAATGGCTTGTCTAGTGATGTCACTTGTTGGTTTCCCCAGATTATGACCAGCCAATCCATCTCCATTTCTTCCTGCTTATTTATTGCACAAACGGTTTCTGCTGGGTTGATTCGCTCATTGACAGAGATCCCTGTTGGTGATCTTTTCTGTCCGGCCATCTGGTCTTGAGCGAAGTATTGAGCGAGGGCAGCTAGCTGTTGATGAAGGTCTGTAGTTTGTTTGAGGTGTTCTTTATGACGCACCAAGTCTTCCATCCGCACATAGTAACACTGACTTCACATTGGAGTTGAAAATCCGGATGTTATTTTCGATGCTGATCAGTGCTGTTGACCTCCACATAGACTTAAAAGTAGTGAAAGCTTAGATATGATAGAGAAGATTTGTAGCTCAGTCGGATGATTTTGATGTAGTTGTGTTCTCTGAGCTGGATGGTTAATTTGTGAAGCTTTCATCAGCCTACTGGGTGACATCTTCAGCGCATACTTCAATCTGAAGTGAGCTTTTAGACTTCTCCACGAGTTTATTAATCATCTCTCTCGGTGACCTTGGACGTGATTGGTTGTTTATGTGTGTTTTCACATCTTCTAGGTTATTCGTATTGAACTGACTGTTTTTTTGACTTGAACTTTGACCCTTTGTGTGAGAAGTTTCTTTCTTATTGGTTGATAAATTTTGTCTATCTCTATGTGTCTATTGATTGATGATTAACTGGAATGCCAAGCTTCTAAAAGTTCTAGAAACTTCACACACAAAGGGTCAAAGTTCAAGCCAAAGAAACAGTCAGTTCCAATACAAATAACCTAGAAGGTGTGAATACACACATAAACAACCAATCACGTCCAAGGTCACCCGTCAGGAAAGATGATTAATAAACTCGTGGAGAAATCTAAAGGCTCACTCCAACAAATTGAAGTATGCGCTGAAGATGTCACCCGGTAGGTTGATGAAAGCTTCGCAAATTAGCGATCCAGCTCAGAGAACAAAACCACATAAAATAGTGAAAGCTTGTCTTACTTTTCCGATTCTGGCTTTGATATCCTCGTCAGTTCCGTAGGCCTGTAGTTGAAACGATGCTTCCCAGGTAGGTGGGGGAGGTTGTTTCTTTCAGGTTTCTCTCATTTATGCTAATTGTTGTCTGTTGTTGTTGTTGCTGTTGGTGTTGGCCAGGAATCTTCTCCATCACTCATATTTTGACCTAATACGTCGATAGGATCACTGTCACGTGATATTTAGGTTTTGTCATGTCAGTAAATCAATTCTGTGTTGAAGTATGGTTTTGTAGGGATTTGATTTGATTAACTGGCAGATGTCATCATGATTAGCTCACATCAGTTAGAGAACCATTAGGGAAAACCTGCAGAGAATATTAGACTACTGTTTCCTCAGCCTAGTTTGGGACTCTTCAGCAGTACGGATCTATCGGAGTTCATTACGAAAAATAACAAAATTTAGCGATTTCAGAACCGATTAGGATGAGTACATACTTTTGACATGAGAAATCTTTCTGAGTATTAAATGTGTTAAATGTTTTCAATAGTCGTTGAAAAAAATGGAGCTTCACTATTGAACAAATAGTAAGTAAGTTAGTTAACTGGTCAAATTTGCCCACGTAATGTAAGCTGTAGTCTAGAGGGCATGACTAATTACGAAATAGAAAAAAGGGCAGAAGTTGGTATGACGTAATAAGTGTGAGAAAATGACTAGTCTATATGACTGTGTAGAATGGACAGGAACTAGTGAAAAGACGATAAAGTGTTTTTATATAAAATCTGCATGAAACCGCAATGTTATTAATAAACAGTAATACAGTAAAAATAAAATATGTATGATGGGAATAATAATAATTCCTTCACGTTCTCAGTTTTACATAGGGCTTCAAATTAGAAGCTTGAAGTTTCTGTAGCAGTGGTGCTTTATTTTTACAAGATGCGGTTTCTAGCCTCATGGCCAGCCTTCCCCCTTTGTTGGCTTAGGGAGGTAAAGCGGTACGCTGGTGTCTAGATATCGAACCCCGGACCACCAGTGCGGTTAGCACTCATTCTACCACTGTGCCACCGACGCACGATGGGAATAATAATGATAACAGAATAATAATAAACTTTCATGTAATAAAATAGAGGCGAATTTATAGTAAGAGCGTTACCATGGCCACAGTTGGGGGAGTGAATGTATGTAGTGCTTTTGAATGCGGACGTCCGGATTCAGATCCCGAATAGCTAATGCTTCAGCTATATACAGATGGCGTATGCGAAGTCCATTTGTACAATATTTAGGGACTGTGTGTAGCACTGAGAAGCATTCATGCAGGGTGCTCGACCATCCAGTCACGTATGAGGATGGATATCCCACCAACGACAATGGTTAGGGTCGCGCTAGATCACGAATTGGTAGAAGTTAGAATTCATGGGCTGGTCATTGAGGAGTTGGGTCCCAGTGGCTGAATGGTATACGAGCTTGCCTTGTGACCGGAAGGTCCTGAGTTTGAACCCTGGTGGTGGGTGCGTACTGGCGATGACTCCCAGACTAGGCTGGTGAGACAGCTGTCCAGTACTCACAAAGATTTCAGTGGTTCTCCAACTGATATCAATCAATTTGTGATCAACTCGTTAAAACAAAACTAACCTTTACAAACCAACTATAGAATATTAATTAATTGTGTTATGGGATACTCTAAAAATAATTCACGAATTTTATAAAGTGTCATACAACAATTTAATTCATTTATTCAACTGCCATATTTCTTAGGCGTTTGTTACTGTTTCAAACGTGATTATTAGTCATATTAGTATGGTGGTGGTTCATTCACTGGAAGAATACTCATCAATCATACACCTGTTCTTGATTCGATTCCTGGCCGACTCACTGCTAAATATAACCTAGTGTATTAGCTATTAGTATATTCAGAAGAAGGCGATGGTTTGGAGGGAAATAACACTAATGTCACAGGAATTTTAAGGCCTGAAGATTCAAATGGCACTCAGAACGCAAAGGAATGCAGAAAATCAATCATATCTTTCCTGATGGTATTTATACGATAGGAATCACTATACATGGATTACGTCTTTTAACCTGCCACCCATAGAGTTATAGTTCAATCGTTATGAATTCATTCCAGA